TTAAAATCGTTGTATCGGTATCATCAAATAACCAGACAAATAATGGACATCAGTATCCACTAAAACGTCTGTGCGCTACTATCACCTCTCACAGCTCTTTTCTATTAGTGATGAATGGACTGATACCAAATAGGAATACTGATGTAGCCTGGAGGGAATTCATCAAAATCGTGCACTTCTGGAAAAGTTTTTGATTTTTGGCAGAGTGTTAGGTACAAGCTGTGATGCCGTCCTAGTGGCCGGTGTGCACAAAATCCAAAATAGCCCCTGTCCAAACAAGAAAAGGTTATATCTCTGCTTCCTTTAGTCTTACTTTGTAGTAGAATGTATTTTTTCTACTTTCTACTTCCTACTGTTTGATACAAGCAATCCAGTTCCTCTATACAAGACCTGGTGCACCTCCCGAACACGTACACCCACTCTAAAGCCCCCTCCCCGGTTAAGCAAGGGAGAGGCACCTCGGCGGAATTTGGTGACCCAGGACTGTTACATTCTGCAGTCGACTCTTCAACATTTGGTCGAACACATTCTGGAGCATTTTATAGAACCATGAAACAATTTCTGCACCTTATTTGACTTGATTTCATTTCACATATGGGTTTAGAGGCCTGGCCGGGGGCCATTTTGGATTTTATGCATATCGGCCACTAGGGGGTGACCCCAACTTGTATCCATGGATTTTTAAAAACCTTAGGTCCATACCTAAACACCCTGCTAAAAATCCAAAACTTTTCCAGAAGTGCACAATCCTCATGATATTTCACAAATTCCCTCCCAACTAATGGAGGTATCAAAAATCACAGTTTGTTTATTTATGTTTGGTAAAACTTTGAAAGACACTGTTTATATTTCAGTTAGTGCATTTAAAAGTCATAAGGGAAGGATCATAACTCATAGGAATCAGATCAATATTGTGATACTTGCCATAGTTTTACTGTATCAGATTGAACAAAACTCACTAGTACCACCCCAGGAATATCTGACACTGCATTTGTCTCTGATTGTGGAATAATCTGTTTTGTTTACATTTTCCTCTTTTAGAGCATTGAAAATGAGGTGTTGACCGTCCCCTCTGAGGCCGTCCTGATGAACAAAGCTGCTCCGGATCGGCACTCGGTCGGACTGAACCCCTCGGTGACTCTTCTGGACTGGTACCTCCAGGATGAAGGCCAGGAGGTGGTTCTGGTGATGGAGAGACCCACCCCATCCCAAGACCTGTTTGACTACCATCAGGAGAATGGCCCCTGACAGAAGCTCACGCAAAGGTATGCAAAAAAAAAAAAACTAAAACAGAAAAATAACAAAAACTTACATGAAAAAATATACATACTTTTGGGTGTCATAAATTAGTAGTAAATAAGCCTATGTAGCAGAGAACAGCATCTCTTCTTTAATCTCATATATAATTAATGCCATTTGTAATACATTTCAGTTACTTTTCTAATCCACGTTCTTGTTATTGTCCGGCAGGAGCTGATCCGTCAGGTGGTGAACGCGCTGGTGGACCTTGACTCAAAACAGATTTTCCATAGAGACATTAATATGAAAAATCTCCTGGTTCAGGCGACAGAGTCTGGCCCAAGGATCAGGGTCATAGACTTTGGCTGTGGCTGCGGCGCCCAATCAGAGCCCTTCTACAGTTTCAAAGGTAATATTCCTAACCAACGTAGTAGTAATAGCAGCAGTAGTAGTTAAAGTACAAGATCACTAAAGATGCACCATGCAGTCTCTCAACGTCCCTACTTATTTCTATGTGTTTCTTTTTGGTTTTCAGGAACACCAGAATACGCACCTCCTGAGGCCTATGGGACTGAAGGATACCGCGCTGCTCCTACCTCAGTGTGGCAGACGGGGGCGCTACTTCACGAACTGCTGCGCTCTAAGAGTGACAAAGGGTTCACCACAAGAGATTTCATGAAGGGTTTTCCATACATTTCCTTCTTGAGTCTGAGTGGTGTGTCCCAAGGTACGAGCAGAGAAACACACACATTATTTAGATATGATTTAGTGTTCATGTCATTAGATCAAACATTAAAGATGTCGGACCTTCATTTGAGAAGATAGATGACACAGTTCACCCTTAAACACTGCACCAATGACAGTATCTACAGAACGGATCCTAGAAGTTTTTGTCACTTAAAGGTTGTATGGAGGATTTTTTTTTTAGTTTCAAATTGTCAATGAAAGTTTAAAATACCATTACAGAGACGCAGCAGCCTTGTAATTATGATGACCAAAAAAAAAAAAAAAAAAAAAAAGAATG